AAACTGTTTATCTTTTTTTTTCACTACCTCCAGTATTAACTGATAACTGTTGTTGTAGAAGATGCATGCAAACATGGCTGTTGTGTCACCTCAATTCTTGTGAATTATCTTGTTTAAACTTCCAGTGGAGGTTCCTACTTCACAACTACAGTGGACCACTGTGCTGTAGGGCTGCTTTCAGAGACAAACTGTTTATCTTTTTTTTTCACTACCTCTAGTATTAACTGATAAATGGTTGTCTGTTTTTTCTCTTTTGGAATCACAACTTTCCTAACTTTACCTCTACAGCTCAACACTACAGATGTATCCGTTTTGAAATACTAAATATTTGTACTTTACATGCTTCTATAATTGTGAGTGGTATAGGATTGAAAAATCCTGTAAAGTAAACTTTCCTAGAAAGAGTCAATTGTAGATGCCATCTCAACTTGCAAAACACCACATTTAAACTGAATTCTAACAGGAATATTGGGGCTTTTATCCTGTGTAGTTACAGGACCAGGTCTTGAAGATGGGCAAGGTGATTGGTTATGAATAATCCTGTGAATGATTTATGCTACATTTTGTACATGAACGTATTTTAAATCTTTGTGGTTCCAATTTAAAAGTTTTAATTGTTAATGTAATTTCATTTCAAAATACTATTAATAAATGTTTATATGGATCAAAAATGATTTAAATCCAGTTATTTAAAGTTGATTTAATATTTTCCAACATAAGCACAGAGGTTAGACACACTTTTTGAAAGGTATTGTTAAAATGATGTGTTTGGAAAGTTTAAAAATTTGATGTTTAAAAATTATTTCATGTATCCTGATTTTGTGTAAATGGTAAGTAAACTGGATGCTGGATGTACAAGACTGTTTAGTATAACAGTTATTATTTAGTGATTTGATATTTAATGATTATTTAGTTTTTATAACAAGAGTGTTAAAAGGTAATTATTTTAAAAGTAATAGTGATGACAAGTTTTGTTATGTAACTCTGTATGAGTCATATGTTGGTGAATGCAGTTTAATTGTTGTACTAGGCTTTTGTAATATTGTTGACGTCATCTTACCTTGAAGCTTTGGAATTTTTCTTAAGTTGTCTTAAGTGAGTATTGCTACATTATAGTGTCTCGTAGTTTGTAGAAAGTTCTAGGCCTCAGTTGGGTAATATATATATATATATATATATATATATAGTAG